AAATTATATGATTAAGGCTTGGCCGATAAAATGAAAAGCTTCATAATAAATGTTTAAAGACAAAGTCCACGACAACATGGATGAACTGTCTGACGCTGCTATAGGGCTTAAGGGCTTGACGACACATTCAATGACATGTCGAATGGTATTGATTTGGAGACAGTTTTGGGTAAAAAAGAAAAATAATTTGTAGTTGAAGTGAAACAAAGAATATTTAACAGTCGGAGTTGTGAATTTACAACAACAGTAAAAAGCCTCAATTTAATGTGGCTTTACGGATTCAACAGGTTGCATAATTTGAAATTATAACTATTAGTGGGAATAATAACTTAAAGGGGAGAATGCAACAAAATTCAGGATTATTTGGACGTGTAAAATCGGGCGACAAAAATGTGTCCGTTCTGACTTCAACCGCCATTCAATTTTTTAAGCTAAGACTAGTTTAATTTCATAGGTTTTTTACTATTTTATTTAAATTTTTATAAAACATTATATTTTCGAATACTTTTGTTATTCTTGAACATCATTTCCCAAAAACGCATTTTCTATACCTTTTAAGTATGATTATAAATTTTCTATAAAACTTAATAACTATAAATTTACCATAAATATTATTCCAGAATTAAATTTAATTCAGGCTACGCTCCCTTAAGATTTTATTGCGGTTAGTAGAACCTGAAAATTTGAAAGATCCGTAAAAATAAGGTTAAAAATGAGTTGAATTAAATCCGCATAATTTATATATTACTTATCAAAATTCAGATTTTCACGATTTTATTAAAAACGAAGGTGCCCCCTAAATCCACATAATTTATATTTTGCTTAACAATTTTATTAAAAATGGGGTTCTCCCAATTATCTGCATATTTTATTTACTACTCTAATGAATTATAAAACTTTAGAAAAATAAAAATTGTCAGTCGATGAGTTTATACTTTTTCTTTTTAAACATAAATCTAAAAAGTTATATATGTTATACTGCTTGATAGATTGTATTATTATAATTTTTATTATTTTTTTTATCAATACATGATAAATTAACCACGATGTATTATATTTTGCGTTATAATCACGGTTTACGCAATAGTAACCATATTAATTAAAATTTGATAAATAACTAATAAATAACAATGAAGTTTAAAGCCAATCACAATTCACAATTGACATTCAATGAGGTAATAATTGTTATTTTTACAATAATAATACAATAATACTCTAAAATGTTATACTGTATATAGTTTGTATAAATATATTATAACCACAACTATAAAAACATTAACTTGTCACTAATAATTCATATAGAATGTATACTCCTTATGACTTTTCGACAAACCATACATTAGTTCTAAGCTATAGTTCCAATGGAGTAGTAATTAGTGACATTGAAGACACTTTTCTTCATTACAAACCTTTTATTAAAGAAATCTCACTTAGAAACAACACAATGGCATATATTGAGTTTATAGACCACAAAACTCCGCTCCAAATCCACATTGACAGAACATCATACAAACTTAAATGTGACTCAGTTAAAATATTTTGGAGGCTCTCAAAAGAAGAGATTATATCGGAAGAATTTAATTACGAATTTTATGGTATGTCTTCCGCTATAACAGACAAATCAATTCAAGAGTATTTGGGCAAGTATGCCCAGATTAAATCGCTCAATTATACTAGTGGAAAACGTGGCGTCTTTTCTATAATAAAATTTAGCAGTTCTGAAGATGTCGAAAACATTTTTGAAAATTACTTTAAAATCAAAGATGATATCGGTACCAAGAAATTTGGTATTAAAAAGCACAAACATGACATGAAAAGTGAATTTAATGTGCTCGTAAACAACATCCACCCCGATTTAGTCGTAAATTCAGAATTTTTTCAATTCTTTAGATCGTTTGGAAAAATTGTGAATTTCTACTTGACAGAAATTAATGAAACGTACAACGCAAAATCGTTGTACGTAGAATACACAAACAAGAAAAACGTGAAAACATTAATAAAAAACGTTAATGGAAAAGACGTGTTTGGTTGTGACATGCCCCTTTCGGCATGTTCTTTGACAAGTAAAAATGATTATTATGAACAAAAGAAAAAGACAAGTCATGACGAAAGTAAAAGAATAATAAAAACTGAAGATACAGATAATTTATTTATTCAGTAAATTAAGTTAATTGTCTTAATTTAATTATATAATTTTAATATATTTTAATTAAATTTAATCAATATATCTTTGTGGTTTTCAAATTTTAAATAGATGTTAAAAAATTAACAAAAACATTTTAAAATAACATTAAATTTTTTTTGTTTTTATTACATTTTTATTACAGTTAGTTTCATTTTGTTTTAACAATGTTACAAAACAAATAGATAATGTTTCACAATAAATCAAAAATGCGTATTTTTTCAACTCTGTTTCAAAACAAAATAATTTTGTTTTAAAATAAATAAAATTTACCAAGTGAAATCAAAAGTGTTTCATACTATTATAATGTTTTAAATTAAAACAAAAATGTATCAAAATAAAATTAATTTGTTTTATAAAGCTATACAAATGTAAAACTACATGTAAGAATGGGACTATGGTTTCGACCATAAAAAATTAAATTAAAACTATTGTCAAAACTAATTAAAAACAACAAAAATTGTATTTTAAAAGTACGTTTTGTGGTGTTCCAAGTTTATGCATTTATTTTGTTTAATATATAGTCGGATTCAAAAATCGGAATAAAAAAGCGTCCGATTTTCTTATCTTATTTTCAATTTTTAAAAACATTAAAAAACTTGTTTTATGAAAAACTATAAAATGATTTATTTTTAATTGTTGTACACAAAAACTAAAGTACAATTATCGTTAATAAAATCAATTTGAATGTATAGATAATTATTTATTTTCTGACATTCCAACGAACTGTATTCGAAAAAATTCACGAGTTTATTTACAAAACGGATTGGCATTGAGTTTTACGTCTTTTGTGCTTCAGATAATACGTCTTCTTGTTTTATCAAAGTGGTTAATATCAAACATTTCTTCATAATCATCATATGTTCTCATTAGCATTTAAATCTGGACTGCTGACTGGCCAGTCGTGAAGAAATAAAAAATATTTTCTTCGAAGAACTTACTAGTTGATTTGGCATTACAACAAGGAGCTTGGTCTAGAACAAATTGATAATTTTGCCTCCTTATTTACTCGATTTAT